AGCTATCAATGATCCCACATTTTTGTAGTTCACTCATTTTTATTCTGTCCAATGTCCTCCCCATTGTATTAAAATTACTTTTCATCTTTTTAATCCTTTATTCGAAAACAGTCAAAAATGGAGTTCTCCAGGAAATTATCTGTACATCCAAGAGTGTCACAACATTCCCATGCCATACGGCATGAAAGACAAAATTTATTTCTCATGTACCAAGGACCTCTGACTTCAGACGTGAATTGAATAGTTTCTTTCCTTCAATGGTTTATGATTGAGAGCGACACAAAACGTTTTTCATCGAGAAATAGCTGTCGGATTTTGTGCATTAGCTAAGACAATATTTTAATTGGTTTAGAATACATTCTGTAACATTGCGAATTCAGAATAAACGAAAGCGGAAAATCATTAGCGGAGGATCAAATGAGGTAATATTGTATATCATATAAAAATACAATTCGGAAAAGGCTTGGTGACAGGGAGTGATTGAGGCGAAACTTTCGTATCAACCCTCATACTTGAAGGAGGGAATTACTTCACGGTATTTCCGAATTACTTTACAGTATTTCCAACAGTGCAAGAACTACTACACGGTACTAAGCTCTTATTTTTTCATTATTCTCCTCCTGGAAGACAGAAAATGAAATAAAACTGAAAAATCTGACTCACCGCCAGCTGAAACGCTTGACAACGTTGAAGAAAGAAAGACAGCCGAGACACTCCGATAGTCCGTACGACGATGCAATTCCATAAAGCGCGAGAATGATATAAACTGCAAAAAGAATGCGTAGAAATTTTCAGATTGAACCGCTTAAAGACAGATATTTTCCATTTTAAAAATAAATGAAATACTCACTGATATACGAGTAAAAGTAGTACAGCAGAACAAGCATCCCACACATTGCCAAAACCAGCATGAATACTGTCAAGGGAGTTAAATCGATGGAAACAGCTTCTTCCGTTTTGTGCTGAGCCTTGCTTGCTTTGACAGCATTCTGCGATTTCTCGGCACCAGAAGTACTTGCAGAATCTTCCGGTCTTCCTCTAAGCCTCGAGTAAAGCTTATGACGATAATGCCCACTCCAATATGCTCCAACGGCGACGCAAAACACGGCCAAAGTGAAGACAACAAGCAAACTCGGGTCGAAACCATGGGTCGGTGAAAATGCATTCACTTCCAGAGTTGAACCCATTCCCTAAGAAAAAGAAAAATTTACATCAGTTGGCCTTGAAAAATATCAATAAAATTGAACCTCAACAAAACGCACCTCAATCGCCTTCAAAGACTGACTTGAAATAGCCATCAAAGTTATTTTCGTGCCGGATTTGTTACTGTGGATTTCAGGAACAGATCCATTGGACGTTATCAACACCAATCCTTTAGCATCCATGGCCTACGCAAAGGAAACATTCCAGTTTTTCGAACCACAATTCAAATCACTTCGATTTTACCTCGAGAACTTCAATCCTATCGTCCAAAGAGCAATCGGCAGCATCGTTCAGTATAACTACTTTTCCCTTCAAGTCCAAGTCATCTGATTTTGAGCATCCGTTCCAATCATCTTTCCGCAGATTGCGGAATGGAGCATATCCCTGCAAGAAGAGAAATTAATCTTCAATGAATGGTGGCAAAAAATGACGTAACAAAAAACTCACAGTTGGATTCGCCGAGCAAGAAGTTGAGTTCAGAGCTCGCAAGCTCGGATAGTTCGCAGAACAAAAGTTCTTCGACAATGCAGTAGCAGGGTTTCGAACGCAAAAAACTGTGTATTCGAATCCGAGACCATCATTTTTCGGGGTCGAGGCTTTTGAGGCCTTCGGTTCTCCATCCACATCGGACACAGTAGGCAAGTCTTCCGACCTCTATAATAAAAAAAAACATAATTAAAAGATTCATTGACAACGTTTCGTCTCCAATTGTTATTCATATTTACGGATACTACTGTATCACATTTCAAAAACAATAGGGATAAAGCGTAAATTGTAGATTTTGCTTGGAAGGCATTACGTAATCCACGGATTATTAACAAAAAACAGTATGACTTTGATCATTCGAACACGTAATGAACACAGTAATACATTTCTGTATGGTTTCAATTGAAAATAAAATACGATTTTCAAATACTGATGTTCGTAAAATATACTATCTTTTGCCCTGACATGAGGAAACGGAAAAGTAAGATGCACATCTCACAATGGATAGATCTTTTTTATAAAATTGACCCGCAAAAAATCCTGCTGCGTGTCTCGAGTGCACGCGGTACATACGTGAATAGAGTATTTCCGGAAGATTTTCCCGACTTGGATAATTTTCAAATTGAACGGAGGGGTAGTTCAATAAAAAGTGCCAGCTGAACTTCAAACAATGAACATTTACAGTACCTTTCCGTCGACACCCCCAGCGACTATTTCTGCAGAAGAGATGACAGCGATGAGGAGAAGCAGCCGCATTATTCTCACACCTCACCACGAACAAACCTGAATAATCATGACAGAATTTAAATGAGTAAACAAGAAACTTTGGAGAAGAGACAAGCGAAGAAACAAGACAAATTTTTTTTCAAGTGGACACTTCGCAAGCTCATTTCTCGCACGTATTCAACTTGAATAGCAAGCCTCTTGTGAAGTAACACGACAATGTCGATTATTACAAATAATCAATTCAGAAAATGAACAAAAAACACGCATTGTTGGGATCATTCAAAACAAAAAAGTACGTGAAACACACAAGAGCACGAAAGCGGAAAAGCATGACTCGACCAGACACACGCTATGCATCACAGCCGATTCCCTGAACAACCAAGAACTCAAAACGTCGTGAACAGGTTGCACCAGCGGGAATTAAAATATGCTACAAAAAATAAACAAGGAACTCTAAATTTGCTCATCAAAAACACAAAACGTTGACAGGATCATTTAACTTCCCGGCGAGCCCTTTCACCACATGTTGTATGACAAATCTTCCGAGTTGAACGCTATGAAGAATCCGACGATGGTTAGGAACATAACGATGTTTGCGGCCAAAATAAGTCCGCAGGATCCCCATGTGATCTGAAAACGGATAATAGTTTTCAATTTGTAAGTTTCAACGAAAAATAAAATCACCCAGTTGAAAACGCAACCAGCAAAGTTCCTATAGGATCAATCGCTAGCCTTTCCAGATCTCTATGACTGCTTTTTCACGTAAAACATTAAATTGAAGTAGATGGAAAGAAACTTATTACATATTAAAAGAGCTCTTCAGATAACGAATAAAAATTATTTTTACTGTGCATTTTTTTGCACAATATGATCACAGTACTGTTCCACTCTCCTCGATATGATCTTGAACGCTTTTTCATCATATACGTGTAACCACCGGATGTGAACAATTGATTCGAAAATGCCATGGCCATCCTTTTTCCAATGAAAAATTAAAAAGTATTCGAAGAGACATGCAGTTAAACAGGACATCATGAAATTCTTCCTTCTCGCTTTTCTCCAGGAAATGAGGAAACACATAAAAATATTCGAGATTCACGAACCACTGGTGCAAGGCTCGGCGCTCGAGCAAGAACAACGGGCAACGAGAATGCTGAGATTACAATTCCTGTCGTGAGAAAAACAGCAAATTCATGGCACGCGCTGGAAGACGACGACCCGTCGCTGTAGCGTCGACTGATCAACACAGGGAAAGGCGAAGCTATGTAAAACATGACCACAAAAAATGGCCACCAACTGCGAGGGATTCAAATGGTATCATTGATATGTAAAAGACGCAAAAATTATAATTCACTTACTTATGCTGAGGAAGGGCGCAAGCCAAAACAAGAAATGTCATTCCCACAGACCCTGCGAAGGCCAGCGTGATCAACCTAAAACAAAAAGAAATACTTTAATCAATAGTCATCATGAAACAGATGCACAACAATTTTCTTACGTCGCTATATCAGAATCCCCCATTCTTAGTAAAGACTATTTAAGGTTTCTTCCATAATTTTAACGCATAAACTCTAAATCGCAAAGTATTCCGAAGTAGTACTCACGCTAGAGACGTTGTAAGACGTCATGTCGAATCAGAAAGCAACAGGAAATTCGATCCATTATACAGGAAAAAAAAAACGATTCATTAACACGTGTTTCATTGAAATTTAAAATTCAAGCAGGTACCTTTAATTCCAGCCATGATGCACGCGATAATCCAGTGATATAAAGGCGCGAACGGGAATGGCACTTTACGTTTGCACAAAACGTTTATCACCAATCGGTAGACACAAGATGAGTTTCATCAGATGAACCGCTCCGTACCCTTGGATTCAATCGTACAAGGTACTGTTCTGTGTACTAAATAGATGCTGCCGGGAAACACAATCCCAATTACACTTCCTATCCACGAATTAACTCCAGCAATCTAATTGCTGGCAGATAGAATAAGCCGAAAATTAGATTTCATTCAACGGATTCAACTCGCATAAAATTGACGACCCTCGAAATACCAACTCAACTTGTTACACTCTTCAGACAGAAGCAAGCATCAGGAACTCGTCGTCACGCATTAACCACCTCCAGCACACCGATAGCGTTTAATCACATACAGTACACACTATTAGACATAGATAGAATCAGAATTACAGTACTTGATTCTGGCACATGAAGTTCTGCACTTCGAAGGATCCGCGATCGAGTTTCAGGAGTTGATTCCATCAACACACTACCGTAGTACCCTTCTGCCTAACATTGCTTCAGTGGTTGCCTGCTTTCTCTTTTGATCAAAACATCCCACTGTGTGATGGATGGACTGTGAACCACACTAACAAAGTATGAGCTACAATGGAATGAAAATGAATTTATGGAACAAAAATGGTTCTGAAAAACATTTCGAGCTTTATAGTCTCTTAAACCTATTATTGCGGCATATATATCATTCAGCAAAACTTTGGTCAGCGTCAATTCCGTTTGTACTTCTGTCTGCTGTATATGCGTCCCACCTGGAGGTGGGTGTAGTTCAGTCTCAGATGTGATTTTGAGCTATTCCAAGTCGAGGTTGAACCAAGTTTCGTGTATGAGGAAGTTGCGAGCGTAATCCGAAAGGAAAAGATATAAATTGAAGAATTTTGACTTACCTAGTGATACGTTGGGCTCCTGTTGTGCCAACTGCAGTTGTTGCAGTACTGTAGAGAATAGTCGAGAAAGGATTTCGTATCGTTTGAGAGTCAAGTTTGCCTCACGTCGAAGTGACGGTTGGTGCGCTTCTTTTCCGACGCAAGTTTTGTTCACTTGCTTATTGGGGGATATTAAATGTGTGATTTCTTATTGCCTTAATATTTTCTGGACTGAGTAGATCCACTAGTGCTTTCTCTTGACGCATTTTAGAGGAAGCAGCCATGGGCGCTCGCGATGAAGAATACGATTTTCTTTTCAAAGGTACTGGCGTCGAACTGAAGATATGAGTACATTTTTTAAAGACTGATAACTGTCATCCATTACAGTTGTTCTCATTGGCGATTCCGGAGTTGGGAAGAGTAACCTGTTGTCGCGGTTTACCAGGAATGAGTTCAACCTCGAGTCGAAATCTACGATCGGTGTTGAGTTCGCGACCAGGAGCATTCAAGTAGACAACAAAACTATAAAGGCCCAAATTTGGGACACAGCTGGGCAAGAACGATACCGGGCAATCACCTCTGCGTAAGTCGAACCTGTTTCCGATTCCTTCGATATTTCAAGTGCGTAAGGAAAATAGAACGTTCACGGTAATTCATACGTCATGCTTTACCGGGTGTAATATTTTTTTCTGGCCGATGGAGATCTGAACGACCGCACCTTAAAGTATACCGATTTTATTTCAATTTTGAATTGCCGAGACGCATGTTCATGATTTCACTCTGTTCTTTCCGAATGAAGGTATTACCGTGGTGCAGTTGGAGCACTTCTCGTATACGACATCGCGAAGCACATCACCTATGAGAATGTTGAGCGCTGGCTGCGAGAGCTTCGAGAGCATGCGGACCAGAATATAGTGATCATGCTCGTGGGCAACAAGTCTGACCTGCGTCATTTGAGGTCCGTACCTACGGAAGAAGCGAAGGGTTTCGCCGAAAGGAACACGCTTTCGTTCATTGAAACATCTGCCTTGGATTCTACGAACGTCGAAACAGCGTTCGTCAACATTTTATCAGGTTTGTTTGCCTGGGAATTTCAAATTTCGTTCGTGTGGAAATGTTTGTGTTGATTATGGAGCGCTTTGAGTTCTTATTTTCAGTTTTGAATGTCGACGCGATTGAATGTGACCGATGAGGAGAAAGTTGTCTGTTATTTGATTGGGCCGAGATATCGTTGAGTTCCGAGCATGCACATTTTTGCAGAGATTTACCGGATCGTGTCTCAGAAACAGATCAAGGATCAGGGTGACGATGATGGCAGTCCTTCGTCCAACGTGCGGACTATCCACGTTGAGCCCACGGAGCAGGCAGAATTGCGAAAAAAACAATGTTGCCAATCCCTGTCCGCGTAATCCCGCCTTTCCCATCGCGCACTTCTCTGTTTTAAAATGTCTAACGCCATTGGAGCTGGTCTGATCTGTCATCTGTTGTGAAAAGTACATGTGCGAATTTTACTCTTTAATTGAAGAACAATTCCGAATTACTCTATTTTAGTGTCGGCAACTGAATTCATCTAGCTATCCACGAGGCATTTTTCTGACATCCATTGATCCACAAATCCTGACGTACTTCGGAATTTTAATTTGAGACTCGTAGTTTTTGTGCTGCAATTTTCTACTGTGGGTCAAAGTCGCAGGTTTCCTCAGTGGGGGTTCAAATTCCTTTTCTGGCGTAATTTCTTCAACGTACTTGAAAATGATCCCGAATTTTATAAGGTATATGTTTTTTTTTAAATCGTAGTAAAATTTCCGCTCTCCTTTTTCATGCGCAAGTTATGCACAGAACCAGAATATGTGCGATAGGAATTTCCGAATTTCTCACGGATCTCCCAGATAACATGAAATTCAGCAGAACAGATGTAAAGGTTGATGCTGCAAACACAAAGAAAAATGTGCAGGTTTTGCTATTCAAGAAGACCTACAATAATGACGCATGTACAAGTGCGGTAAATGACATACTAGACCAGCACCACGCCATCTTGTGTTGTGAAGATTATGGTTTCCCTGTCCCCCCGAAAATCCCGAATGCGAGGTTACTTAATTGGCCTGCGTGTTTCTATCGTGAGTTGGTAATTTTTATTTCGCCGTCAAGTCTGTTCCGTGGGTTTGAGTGGTAACCGTGAAGCGTTCCCGTTAGGCCCTAACTCATCCCGTACGTTGGCATTTCTACATCGTTGTTCACGGGAAATCTTAAGTTGTTTCCGAACAACCTAACCTCTCAGCACCCGATTTTTAAAATCACGGAGATGGTTTCTAAGCACCGACTAAATCCCGCTTTGTTTGTCACGTGCGTATTTGTCCGCGATACTCCTGATCCGAACCTTTTTTCGGGTTTTGAGTCTTTTAACACTTTCAAGACATGTTTGTGGAAGATCTCGTGGGTACGGAACGACTACGAGTTTTCTTCCACGAATCTTCACTTATTATTCATTTCTGTTAATTTTCCAATGTACAGTATATACCAGTCGGTCAAGAGACCCAGGGGTCATTCTGCTTTCAATGGTTGAAGATTCCTAGTGATCTTAATTGTCACCGGTTTCGCCCGAATGACCTTTCAATTCTCGAATTTATGTTTTCGCTTTCAGAAATTCCGCGAATTTGTGAATGTCAGATTGAGCCTTTTCATCGTACCTGTGATTCATCGTCACATGTAACTTTTAGACAAGATTAGGAAATTTTCAAGAAAGCTTCATTCGGAAATGAATGAACAGGGAGCCCTGTTCGGAAATTTCGAAGAGTATCTTGTAATTTTGTAGCTTTTATATATAAATTGCTGCTCGATTTTAAATGAATGTTGATTTATACCTCGATCTTGAATCGGAAGGTGCGAACGACATGGCACTGAACTTGACATAAGTTTTCCTTGCGCTGGAAAAAAAATGCATAAGAGTGTTTTTTTTCTTTTACGAAGGGCAAGTATGAAGCACTTCCGGTTCTGTCAATATGTTGCATGAGGTTGCTGGCGAGGTGTTTGGTTTTGTCACGGTAGTGGGGGTATAATCAACAAGGCATTTGTTTTATATCTTTCTTCCGTTTTATTCAGCGTGTCGTGGACGCTGGTTATGAGTGTTTCCCGAATGGCCTGAATGCGTTACTCATGCAAATTCCGTTTGTTTTGCAGAGATTTATCAAATAGTATCGCAAAAACAAATTCAGGACGGGCCCAGCGAAGAGAGTCCAAGCAATCAAGTGCGAACGATCCACGTGGAACCAACGGACCCGTCAGCCATGAACGCCACGCGGAAGAAATGCTGTAACTAGTAGCCTCCCATCGAGAAGAGCTTGATTGTCGTGTCTTTGATTAATGTTTTCCTCTTCCTTGAGTCTGTTCCTGCGTCTTAATTTCAGTTCTTTCCCCCCGACGAGAGCGATTAGAATGGATTCTGAGATCGGGATAAATCCGGATTAATTTTTCTCGCTGCTGTTCTTGAGATTGGGCTTTGGAAGAACTTCTGTTCGGTGGTCAAGCATTTTTTTCAGCTCTCTTGCTTCGAGTCAAGTTTCGATGTTCCCGTTCGGCAGTAAAAAGTGCGTTTTTTGTCAAGTATTCACGTGATATCTCGACGAAATCCAGTTGAGAACTTTTCATAAAAATTGCTGTTACGGAAAGCTTGGTACGTTTGATCGCAGTGGTAAATTTTGAACTGCCGGGAACGACGAGGCGGAAAATGAAATAAATCTTCGGGTAAAAGTCGGAGAGCTGTGAAAAATTAATTGCCCCGTTTTCCATGTGTCATGAAATCCGTCGTTGTTTGGTGCCATCGAACAATCCTGTTTTTTTTTTTTTGGGCTTCGTCATCAGTTCGCCGTTAAAAGCTCCCTGAATTTCGGAGATAAAAGTCTTGCTTCAGAAAACACGGCGCTCACAGTGAGTAGGTCGATATGGAGGGTGAGAAATTTCTCTCCTGTAAATTTTTCTTTTTTTGTGCGAGTCGAAGACCTGCGTTTGTTTCCCACGCCGTTAGGGTGGCCGCTTGATTTTTTCTCGTCAGATTCTTGTATTTTTTATCTCACGGAGAGTCATTTTTTGAGTTCAGTCATTTTTTCCAGCTGTAATTTTTCGGAAGTACGTGCTGTGCGAAAACCTGAGTTAATCGGTCACATGGAGAATCTTGTGTTATTTCCTGTTGCACGCCCTAATGTCCTGAATCCGTGATTTCACTTCTTAGAGGTGCCTACTTTTATTTTTTTTCAGGTTGCTTCAGTGACGTTAGAAATCATCAAACTTTCGGTTAAGATTGAATTGAGGCGAAGCTTGTACGCTTTTCAAATGAGTGGATAACACGGAGAACCGCTGGATTTTTATCATCACCTCGTATGTTTATTGGTCACTTTAAGCTTATCAAGCATCGGGTCAAAATGTATTGGCTGCAAACTCGTCAAAAAATACCCAAGTTGCACCAGTTGAAACATGAACGCCTTGTTATCGTAGTTTTTTTTTTTTTTTTTTTTTTTTGCGGCCTGGAAGCAGTTTTATTTTATTTTAAATTGTCGATCGGTCCGTGACGAGATCTATCTTGTTGAAATTGCGTTGCGGTAATTTGGATTGTCATACAAAACGAAAAACACTTGGAATCCCTTTTGAAAGTTCGGGTTCAACCGATTCCAGGTTGAGAAAACAGTTTTTTCGCGTTATCCTTTGGGTGCACGTAGCGAGAGGGTGATGAAAGCTATATTTTTCCCGCTTGAGAGGAATTCAAAAAAAATTTCGGGGAGCGAAAAGAAGAAGAAAAAAGCCTTGCTTGGGTTTTGCCGGTGGGTTACCTTTTTGTTTTTGTCTCCCCGAGTTGTTTTGCATATATATTCGGGCACCCGGCTGGTTTTTTTGCTGGTTATCGATGGGGTCACCCTGTGAAGAAAAAGAAATTCCGGTTGAGCCGAGTGATGGGAAAGATTTTAGAAGTTTTCTTTTCTCGAAATGTTAGCTTTTCCTTATTTATGCCGGGGGTTTTAACGCTTTGTTCCATGTGGTGCACGAGCATTGGGGTTAATGATAGGCTAACTGATCGCAGTTCCTTTTATTTGTCTTGCTGTTGGCGCTGAGGGTGAAGGAAAAGTTGTCAATGATACTTCGGTTTGTTCCGCCTCTGCCCAGGAAAAGAATGTTTTTTTTTCTTCATGTCCGTTTTGCACTTGCTGGATATGTGAGTGGATTTATGAATACGAGATGAACTGTGCGGAGATTAAAGTGGTTATTTGATGACTTTCTGTACTGCCGTGTTTATGCGTCCTATATAAACAATCTCAATTGCGAATTGTTATGCAGTTCGGAATGTCTGCGAGGATTATTTGATTAGATTTGGTAAGAGGGTATAGACTGGAGTAGAGTACTCCGTGAATTTTTCATGTCAGTTGGTATTCTTCCGTAATCGGTTAATCGATTTCATCAGCCCTACGACCCCGACCTGTCACATGTCTACAATTGTTGCGAACATCGTACATGTCGTCACACCTGGACCTGGGTAAGATACTTGACCATACTGTATTGATTATTTTTCTACATGAAGAAAATTTCTGATATCAACATTGAAAACTTGTAGAGTTTCATCCAATGAAACTTTGAAAAAATTAAGTGCACAGAATAAGTTGCAAAATCGTAATTTTCGTGAAACGTACTTGGTGAAGACTTATGTTTTGCAATACTATAAAATTCTACTTCGAACTTGGACCCAGTCAATTTATAAATCTTGCCCCTAACCTTAACCTACAATTGTTGATCCTGTCCTTATTTCCCAGATGATTCCGTCAACGAGGACTGCACATATGTACTTCAGCTGTATATGCTAATTATTGAAATGCACTGAACCATCACTGATGATCATTATTATTTGTTCAATTCTTTCTTGCATGGCTAGTTATTGAATTACATCGCGATTACAATGAGCACGATAGTGCGGTTCATGTGTGAAAGGAAACGACGATTTCACATTTTCACAAATTCCTTTATACAAGCTTCTGTTGAAATGCGTCGAAGGTGACGCGGCGGATCTGCCGCACACGCAAGTATGGCAACCCTGATTCCGCGCTTGTCACTCATGATCAATTCCTGCGTGACATATCCGAACACGCCAGTGTTTCACGATGTAGGTATACAGTACGGTACTGTATATATACCGTATATGCATACTGCTGTGGTGGATCATTATTCATGCGAGTAAATAATTAGCCCTGTTTTCAGCCAGGTAATAAGTTTGAGGCAGGTAATTTGGTGATCTCTTCTATGGGGCTGGAAATTGAGGTACGAAACTTGCCTGATGTGATGAAGAGTGCTCCTGCGATTCTGGGGTTGCCTCAGTCAGAAAAGCGTCTGAAAAATAGTTACTCTGAAATCTTTAAGCGACACATGTAACAACAGTTTGTATAGATAATGCAACTTATTTCAAAGGAAATGTTTCCATGGTAAGATAGCGAGGTCGTGATGGAAAATTTTAACCCTGATGACGAGTCGAGATGGACACACAGCAGCGCGCTCATCGAACTGTATGCTGAAACTTGGGTGGGGTTCAAATGCAAGTACTGTAACTAGCTGTACAGTACACTAGATAATATGGTCAACTACTGTATATTGTACGAATTCCGTCGAATGAATCCCATGTGTGCTGGGGTATTCTGATTTCTGACACACTGGGCTTGTGTTATTGTATATGAGAAACATGAATAAATTATTTGATTACTGTATTTATTTTTGGCGAGGTTGGAATTTTTAATAAATAAAATTTGCTCTCCTACGGGAACGGGCGAGAATATAGCATTCAAAATTTTATTTTACTGTAATAGCTGTTCACCCTGTGTCATACCAGAGATATTGCTGCTTCATATCGTAATAGATGAGTAGATAATCATGATGAGATTTCGTAATTGCTAAGATCCTTGAACTTGTCGTCCGCGGAACTGTTAAGAATGACGCTTCAAAATCGATGTGCATCAGACCGACTTTCTATTCGGAGTTCAAATGCTCCTTTCGAAAGTACTATCGTGAAACATGCTGAGGCTCATATGATTGATATGAAGGAAACGGAACACATCGCCTCGGGAATGTCCTATCTGCCGCACGAAATCATGTTCCATGATCAAGGCCTCATCATGGACTCTGGTTATCGAGGATTTGTTTGTGCTGGATTCGAGGCATGCGGAGAGGCCCCCCGTGTTTACTTCGAAGGTAGCAACAGCACAGCCAAGACATTTGTTCGTTCGTTCATATCTCTTTCTCTTCCTCTGCTGGGCTTCGCTTAGCTCAGGCGTGTCTCGCGCCGTCGCCTATCAGTGTTTCTGAATAAAGCCTTCATGAGTTATAAATTATTCGACAATGATTCGCCGGCCGTGATTATTTTATTTAGTTTGTATTCATCCTGTCGTCGGCCGCAGATTTCTCTCCGAGGTTCTATTTCCGCGTTGAAGCGGAAACAGGAAATGACGAAGCGATCTGCTGTTTGTGTTGCCTTTGTTCTCGTTGTGTCGGTTTTCTCGTCATCAAATGCGTCGAACTCTTGGAAATTCCGGGATTCTAAGACGCAACAGCCTCGCCCGCACATTGTTTTCATCATGGCAGACGACTTGGTAATGTTTCCTTTCATTCGATCATAAACGAACGTACAGTAGTTTCAGACCTAGTATATATGGAATTTTGAAATGGTAAAATGCTTTTGTATAATTTCGAGTCTGATACATTTGAGATATTAAGATGATTGAATTGCTTTTCTGTTATGCGGATGACGTACAAAATAATTGTATTTCTTTCCCGTGCGTTTGCATTGATGTGCTGTCTGATCACTTATGGTGATTTTTTTTCAATCGATCGCCAGAGATTTCCACGCAGAAAATTTTCGCGAAAGACGGCCCACGGTTTTGAATTAGGCATGTATACTGGCTTGAATGCATTATTCGTCCAAACAACGTGTAATATTATTCGGCGTTAGAATAAAACAGTAGTTATAAATTAGTAGCTAAACTATAAATAAATTAGTAGCTTGACGTGGCTTTTTGATCAATGCCAATGCCATCATTAAATATAGAAGAGAAATGCAAGGTAAGCCATGAAATGGATCAAGAGAAGATAATTTTACCGCAAAAGATGGATTGGAGAAATTCTTATCGCTGTATGCTTGTTTCCATGTGATAGGGCTGGAATGACGTGAGCTTTCACGGGTCCGAGCAGATCCCAACACCGAATATAGACACCCTGGCATCAGCAGGAATTATTTTGAACAATTATTATGTCAACCCAATTTGTACCCCGTCCAGAAGTTCGTTGATGACAGGTCGACTCACGACTCAACTCGGTGAGAATATTAATTTTATCTAATGATTATGGATCACGAACAGTATGACGATGCTTAATTGAATGCATTTGTCCTATTGTTTCCTTTGCGGCAGAAAAGTCAAGGTTAAATTGAATTTTATTGAAGTCGTTATCTGTCGGCTGGGAGCTTGAAATCGTTATTAAATAAACTTTATGTCCAATATTTCATTAGGATCTATCTAAAGTTTTAATCCGTTTATTCATGCCTTTTCTCTCATGAAATCGTTGACGTTTTCTAAACAGGAATGCAACACGATGTCATCAGCATGGATGAACCCTGGGGTCTACCATTGAATGTGACATTGCTGCCGGAACATCTCGGAAGACTGGGTTACAGACGTCATATTGTTGGAAAGTGGCACCTTGGGAATCACAAAGCTGCCTACACGCCAACCGCGAGAGGTTTTGAAACACACTTGGGGCACTGGGGCGGTTACAGAGACTACTATGATGCCACGTCAGAAATTGGCGTAAGTTTAGCCCTCGAATCATTTCCATCAGTCGAAAATATCTCTGTCGAAGTTCAAGGAGCCAGCGAACAATGCTGAGTTTTAAGAACGATCTTTTTTGTTGGGGGAGAGAAAGAAGAATTGCAGAATATAACTGGTGATATTTTTGGCCTTAAATTACTTCTTTGATGAGTTTGCAGTATGCTGAACTTGAATGCTAGGCTTCATCTGCCTATATAAATATAGTCTTTCACTTCCTTTTAGAATACATTGTTACATTTTTATAGCTTCTCTTTTTTGTGTCGATAAAATAATTAAAAAGCTGAGTTATTGAGATTTGAGGGGGAATCCATTGAGTTAGGGAGGTTTTTAATGCTTTGTGTCTAAGGAATATTAAGAACTCTTGTTCTTAATACAAGAGCATGGGACTTGAAGAAATTGACATACGTTGGATTTATCGAGGTTCAGCTGCATTTCTTCGTTGAGTGACGCGTAGCTTTTTGTAATGTCAGGTAGGTGTCGCCAGAGAATATCCTTATTCAATTATGGACTCATGCACTGACGTGACATCACATGCAGAGTGCATCGGGGTCGTTGAATTGTAATCATCTGCTTGAAATTTATAGCTTCTCTTTTTTGTGTCGATAAAATAATTAAAAAGCTGAGTTATTGAGATTTGAGGGGGAATCCATTGAGTTAGGGAGGTTTTTAATGCTTTGTGTCTAAGGAATATTAAGAACTCTTGTGATTTGTGTCTAAGGAATATTAAGAACTCTTGTTCTTAATATTCCTTAGACACAGAGCATGGGACTTTAAGAAATTGACATACGTTGGATTTATCGAGGTTCAGCTGCATTTCTTCGTTGAGTGACACGTAGCTTTTTGTAATGTCAGGTAGGTGTCGCCAGAGAATATCCTTATTCAATTATGGACTCATGCACTGACGTGACATCACATGCAGAGTGCATCGGGGTCGTTGAATTGTAATCATCTGCTTGAAACTTGAATACCTCTTAATTTGACGTATTCTTCATCCCATATGCATATAGATTAAAGGGATGGTGATGAGAGGCCGTGATTTGCGTCGTAACATGGAGCCGGCAACTGACAAACTCGGCGTCTATGCCACTGACCTCTACACCAGCGAAGCCCTGAAGATTATTCAACACCATGACCCGACTCAATCTCCTTTGTTCCTCTATGTCGCCCATGCTGCTGTCCACGCTGGTCTCTGGTCCAATCCTCTCCAGGCCCCGAGAGATGTCATTCAATTGTTCAGCCACATCCGAGATCCCCAACGGAGAATCTACGCAGGTTTTTATTTTATTTATTTAATTGCATGCATTAATGTACTGTATTTACTCGAAGTATCTTGCACCCTCAGTTAAGACACAAACCCCAATTTTTTACCGCGATATTTTGAAGAAATCCTATCCTTGAGATGCGCAACCCATTTTTTTACTGGGCAACTACAATACGAGTATTGTATTTCAAAAATAAGAGACACCAGAATTCAATTTTTGACATTAATTTATAACCTGCATTCAATTATTTCCAATTGTTTTGATATATTCAAATGTGATAATTGCGTAACTCCAACGATTTTTTGAAAATATTATCACTACCTATGATGCCCGTCCCATTTTTACGTCTCAATTTTGATTAAAAAAAAAAGTTGAACGCACTATACTTGAGTAAACATGGTTTCTACAGTAGTTGGCTAGAACAAGGGTTTTTCTGATGAAAAATCAAAGCTTTGTGCAGATAATGGAAAATCGTCCATTTTATATTGTTGAAAAAAAAATAATGAGAATCCAAAACACATTCAATACTACTACATGTAGTATCGATTCAACAATTGAAGTAAAACTATTCATTTCCGCGCAGAATCGAACTTATTCTCGTTTGTATATGTACACTATTTATACGTCGTTGGTGTATAGTGCATAAGCAATGAGAAATTAATCATCTGGAGTCCTCTGAAGGTTTTGGAAATCTGGGTGTTTTTCTAAATTTTTGGGAAAGTGTTCGGTAATCTTGTATTTTTATTTTTGCATAGATTGTCTGGATAAAACTGGTTACGTAACAATATTCAAATAATAGCCGAAAGGTCGCTACCATATAAACGATCTGGCTAGCCACCCCTTTTAACACTTTCGGAACCTTCTGTTTCCTTACGACTTTTTGAGCTAGTAAGTCTTCTCCACTGACAATGGGGGTCCTGCCGGAGGAATAAATCGGAATGCAGCTTCCAATTGGCCATTACGAGGGGTGAGTGATGGGTTCCACTTTTTCCTTTCTACCTGTTCATCGTTTCTTTCTTGGCGCGTACATTTCGCTAAATTTATTCATTTTGGATGATCTGCGCAGACGAAAGCAACGGGTTGGGAAGGAGGGGTTCGAGGCGTTGGGTTCATTTGGAGTCCCTGGTTGAAATCGAGTGGCCGAGTTTCGAATCAACTCATGCACATGGTTGACTGGTTGCCCACTTTGTTTTCTGCTGCTGGTCTGTGTTCAATTATATTATNGGTTTCTCCAAGTTTCTTCTCACCATGTTTGAATTCCCATACTGAGTATTTTGTGTATACAAGTTTTTCGTACTGTGCAGGTCTTCCATTTAGGTATGATTAATTACTGTAAAATCGCATTATAACAAATCCTTTGGCCAATGAGTAGAACCTATGTAAATACAGAATTGTTAATAAGATACTTGAATATGCGATTATGGCTTTTTTACTATAGGAACCAAAAAATTCTTCTGAACAGTAATTTGTTTTAGTGAGATCCATTGTAATGGGATTACAGTGTAAACGTAATAGCTAATCACTTATTTTATATTGAAATAATATTGAAAATTTGGCTATACAGCAACTTCAATTGTTATGGACAAGTGCGTGTGCTGCAGTTGAATATCTGAAGTCGTATTGTAATATCCAAAATCACCCCAAATTGATACGTTTAAGAAAAAAATCAATTACACAAGAAAATTAATCCATTATCGGTAATATTCTTGTATTTTCGTTGATCATTCGAGTTGTGTGTCCATGAAAAATAGTGAAAAAGAATCAATACCCGATGTGAATCAATAGTTTATGAAATGATTGTCATTAGACTCAATATTATCTCCCGTGGAATCGATTTTCTTGTTGCTTCCGACGGCAAATTTTGAATTTTGTGAATGTGTCATCTGCCCAATTTCTTGATCTTCATTTTTTGTCAATTCTGTTTTCCCGAGTCGACGAAGAATCCAAGTCCAAGCTTTGAGAGACTTCGGATGAACTGTAGTTTCGTTCAACTTCTCAATCGGGAATCCTCCTGGAATAAAATTGTTAATGCATGTATTGTGGATGCAAGTGATGGTCAAAACCAACAAGAAGAATTTAATACCTGTTTTTTCAAATGTGAGACGTAAATTTTCTGGACAATTTAATTTTCCAAGTCAAATTAAAATTATTTTTTGGATAATGGGTTCTCAGATGAAAATTGACTACCACAACGAAAATCAACCAAAATTCCATTATTTTCCTTGAAAATTACGCAGCTGACAATTTTTCTGCATGCCAAAAATTTTCAGCCGAAATGCGTGCATTTGAGAAATTTGAAAGTCTAAAATTTGAGTTTTTTTTTCAATTTTTACAAATACTTCTGAGCATTTCGTCAAATTAACTAAAAATCCTTGCAGAAAAGTATTTTTGCGGATTATCCTTCAAAGACGCCTCAAAACTAAACCTTTTTGAGATTTTCAGGCAATTCTTTTCAAATTCTCACCTGTGAGAAAGCTCGCGACAATTGTCACAATTATCGTGACGCTCATGCCCAGTGGGAAGTACATGAGGTACGAAAAACCATAAATGCTCCTTTTGAAAAAGGTACAGTGATGGAAGCAAAAATTATTGGCATAATTGTTTCTCCAACTTCAATGCAGAAATGTTCTACCTGAGATCGTCGTTTGCTGTAGGATCTAGTGCCACAGCATTAGTCACATTGAGCATGAAGGATTCTGAGAAGATGCTTGTGGTTGAATCACACATTTCCACAGAAGTTGGAAGGGATGGTTTGGGTGGAATGTTGCTGATCCAGGCGCCAATTGCCAACCAGGCCACAAATACCATTCCAGATAACAACCCAGCTAATCCTCCCTGATGTATAAGCAAATCAATAAATACAGTCAACCCCTGTGCAATGGACTAGTCTGTTATGTGAAAAGTCTGTAATGCAAATTTGATTTTCCTATATGATTACACTTGTGCAAAACAAGTTCAATCAAGACCAAAAGAACTGAAAAATTCAACACACACACATTCATAGCAACAATAATGACATTCTATAAAATCTATATTAAAATTAAGTTGGAAAGCCGCAAGGGGAGACCTGAGGGACTGATGTC